ATGGACACACGAGCGAAAAAAAAAAAAAAAAAAAAAGGAGAACAGCTAGAAGCACGCGCGTACCCATACACACATACACATTTACACAGATCATTGAATTAGATAGATAAGCTACGGGTGAAGCCAGTACAGTCCCACGGCGTGACAGTGTGCGAAGAAGAAAGATAAGTTGAACGTAAGATTGGAGAAAGAAGTAGAAAAAATAGTGCGGAGGAGAACGAGAGGAGAGGAGTGTGTTTCTTAAAAAAAAAAAAGAAAAAAAAAAGAACGGAGAATTTAGCGTGTCTGATCGAAATGAATGCGATGTCGAGCGTTGTCTTAATTTCAGGGGTGAGAAATTATTAAGGGATGAGAGAAGAAAAACTTGGCGTGTGCGAGTGTAGAGTGCGTGCGGCGTGAAAATTACACGAGACTAAGTATGAGAAGAAAGAAAGAAAAAAAAACTAGCGCGTGTTTTAAAGTGTGAGAGAGTAAGGTTTAAGGGAGAGAGAGAAAGAGAGAGGGAGCTGGATTTAAATGCGACCGATTGATTATTTCGACACGAGCATGCGGTGGGTTTTAGGATAAATGATCTATTGACAAATGTTGTATATTATTACGAATTATAATGACACTATTATAATTAATTAATTAATTAATTAATTATACCCTAATAACGTGAATTGAATTTAAAAGAAAAATAACAAAAGAAAAAAAAAAGAAAAAAGGAACATGAAAGAAATGAAAGACGAAGCGACAGAAGACGGACAAAACGAAAAACTAGATTATATATATATTCCAGTTTTTCGTTTTGTCCGCGCAAGAACCGAGACGATAGATGGTATAACATAAGAAGGAAAATTATAATTCGAAACGAGTTCCAGTCGTTTGCAAAGCACACACGGAGCCGGAGAATCGCAATAGCTCGAGGCTGCAATAACTTTTGAAAACGAACGCACATCGAGATCAGGTATTTAGCCTCGTTGTCGCGCTCTGTTGGAACGGTTGAATTTAAAAAAGAAAGGAGAAAACAAAAGGAACGGGAGGAAAGGAAAGAAAGAAAGGAAAAAAAAACAAAAATCAAAAGGTTCGAGCGAGGTGGTGCGTTTT